AGCAAATATTTCTTTGGCTAAGACTTCGAAGGTACAACGTTATTACCGGTGTTATTACTCAGTAATACCACTGGTAATAACGTTGTACCTTCGAAGTCTTAGCCAAAGAAATATTTGCTTCCTATGTATTTCAAATTTAAAAAATCCCAACGGTCGAACATAGCAATTTCCGAACGAACGAACGAACAACATTTTTTTTAAATAAATTCCGAACGAACGAACGAGCAAAAAAAATAATTTTCAACTTTTCGAACGAACGAACGAACAAAATAAGTTTTTACAAAACTTTCGAACGAACGAACGAACAAAACAATTTTTTTTTATGTTGTCGAACGGTCGAACAAGTGTTCGAAAGTGTTCGACGGCCAACACTATTGTTGTTAGAAACACGTAAACAATGAGCAAGCTACAAGTTGTCAAGGAGATACATCGCGATGCGCGAAAACATTACCCAAGACGCCGCAACGTTATGCGCGGAATTTGTGACACACTGCAAGCAGATTTAATTGAGCTACCTCCTGATCGTGGATTTAAATATTGCCTAACCACCATCGATACATTTTCAAAAGTAGCGTATGCAGTCCCGCTTAAAACAAAGACTGGACGTGAGGTTACAGAGGCGATGAAATCTATTTTGATTTCAACGAAACGACCGGTAAAGAACATATGTCTAGATTTAGGGCGGGAATTCTACAATAAAGAGATGACGCGATTATTGAATAATTACAACATTAATCGCTATTCGACTTTCTCTAACTTGAAAGCGAGTACGGTAGAGCGCTGGAATAGAACCCTCAAGAAAAAAATTTATCAACGCTTCAGTTTGAATGGCAATTATAAATGGGTTGATATTATTCAAGAATTAGTCAACGAGTACAATTCAACCAGACATCGAACAATTAAAATGGCCCCAAAAGACGTGGATTCTGATCATGAACAAGAACTACTGGACACTGTTTATTATATAAACGCATCATTCCGCCGAAAAGCATCAATAAATTTAAGATAGGAGACCATGTTAGATTAAGTAAATATAAGCATGTTTTCGAAAAAGGCTATCTCCCATCATGGACGACCGAAGTTTTCACCATCAGAAAAATTCAATTTACCGACCCAATCACTTATTTATTAACTGATTGGGACGGAAACGAAATCAAAGGTGGTGTTTACACAGAAGAAATGCAACTAGTTAAAAATCCAAACATTTACCTAGTTGAAAAAATTCTTCGCAAGAAAAACGGCAAAGTGTATGTAAAATGGCTTGGTTTCGACAACAAATATAATAGCTGGATAAGTGAAAATGATGTAATTTAAATTGAATTTTCAATAAAGAAAAACACACAACTTTTATTATGTAACAAAATACATGTTTTTTATTTACTCTTTTGCAATTTTACAGATTATGCTTACATCTAAATCTTATATTATTTATGATTATGTCCGGAAACATCTATCGCGAAATTTAAAGGCATCTCCACTTGTACTACATGATTCTTTTTTAAAACGATCCAATCAATCAAATCTGCGCATGTGGGGCATTATAATGCCCCCATGCGAGAGTCTCAACGTTATCAGGTAGAACATGTCTTTTATCATCGTCATGACTAAGAGCTACCTTCTCTTGTCTAATAGAATACATCTTATGCAGCTTAGTGCGAAATGAATTCTGGTTTTTGATAATAGAACAATTTTTAGTCAAACATTCAAAATAATCTTCAAATTTAATCTCTTTTTTTATGATGTATTTTTTTACACCCTTAGCCTTTTTTATTTTATCTATACTATTCTTCGTTCGTACACAATACATTTTACTGCGTATACCTATTTTTTTGGTTATAATTTCACCATTCAACTCGTCCTTAAACAGACCAGGCACCTTCTTGTTCACGCGGGGCATGTTGTATGGATTATCCTCTTTGTAGTCGCTGGTGTCGAATTTCTCTAAATGCTGTTTCATATCATCATAGAAGTTTTCGCAGCTTATTTTATAGATAAAACTGTCAGTGTCGGTGTACGCAAGTTGGACTTTATCACCATATTTGGGCTTCATAAAGTTATAGTGAAAGTCACACATAACGACTTTGGATATATCCAATATCGCGAGCCCCACCACAATCGGTTTATTCATGAGCAAACTTGTTTTTTTCAACTCGATGGCAACCAAGTCTTCATCAAAAATTGTGCGTCGCTTGAAATTCGGTTTCGCTATGAGCATACGTGCTCCAGATCTTCCACCCCACTGCGACTTCAGTTTGATATCAACGCGAGATCGCAGATTTTCCATCGTTTTCCCTATAACAATAATATGAAATAAGAATTGGTTAATATATTACATTTAATGCGTATGGAGATATGATCATTATGAGGAGACATTCACTTACCAAAAATAGCATTGCAGAGAAGTTTGAAGAAATTCTTTTCAAAATCATTAGTAGCTCGCGTTCTCATTTCCGTGTTCAGCTGAATGTAAGGCTTGAGCCATGCTGTTTGGTTGAACTGCAGGGCGCGATGTACTTTCCCCAAAACTAACCCATGCTGAAGAGCCAATTTCAGCATTCTGTAGTGGATCACATAATTTTTTTTTATCATAAAGAGTCAAAAGCAATTTCTTTACACCTTTTTTGCCTGGAACGTGCATATTTTGAGCGCAAAACGGGTAATCATTATGTAAATCATGCAACTCTTTCGGATAATCGAGATCTACTTCGAAAACATAGCCAATATCAGCATCATCTTTAAGATTCAGAATTGTTTCTCGATCAAATTTAACATCAGACCATTGAAAATTATTATGTGGTAAATGCTGCATCATCGAATGGCCATATAAGTTATTGGCGTCGAGGTACATGATATAGCTGGTTTCTTTATTTGGATTATAATTATCCATGAATTTATTATTAGCTTGAATGTATCGCGTACTGCATTGGATTATGCCTCCGCGAATTCCACGTTCAACGAACATGAGCATGTCGACATCCGTAAAGAGCTCAAGTTGAACATTTGTATATCGTAGCATGGCATCGAAAGAAAGTCCGGTATATTAAATTTATCCCACACCTCTTTCGCGAAATCGTAATCTTTATCAGTAATCGAGCTGTTAGTCAAGGTACTATGGAAAGCCTCTTTGGATGGCAGCGATGTGTCATTTAGTTTTTCCCAGCTGTCAATGTAATCATAGCAAAAAATGCCCTTTCTCTCCAATAATTTCAGCTGCTCTTCACTCAAAAGCTTACATTCGGTCCTCAGAATACGCTTTTTCTCTGATGGAATCAAGGATGAAAGAGTATCCAGTGAATCAGCCATGAATCGAAATGAATCGATGAACCTCAGTTTGATGTCCTCTTTGAATGGCTGGGCCGTCCCCTCAACGGTTTTTGAAAAAGATATGTACCTTTCCGTGTTGATTGGGATAATCTGCATGTCACCCGCGAAACCGTTGGCTAGTTTGCGCAGCAGAAAATGCGAATCATAGCCAGTCAAATTGTGAAAAACTACCGGAATAGCACGATTTTCCACGTAATTCAAATTACAATCTTGATGTGCGGCACCGCGAAATTCACCCGTCAAATGGGAATGATCCCTCACTTTAATGGAATCGGAATCAAATTGTTTTTCACAAATGTGACAAATGTGCGTATTTTGAAAACGTTGCTCCTGTTCAGCAGTCATATTCAACGGAATTATATTATTGAGATGTTGGGCAGCAAATTCAGCAGCAGTTTTCATCTGGTCTACAAACCAATCGATACAGTCAGGACCACGTTTACTCGCATAAAATAATTTCGACTCGTCAAAAGAACATTTAAAATAATACCCGACACTGTAAACTTCATGCTCCTGATAAGCCGCAATTTCTCGCTTTTTGCCTTTGAAAACTGGCACATCAGGTACTTTTAATAGCGCTTCGACATCGGCATAAATTATGAATGGGCATTCAAGCTGATTCTGCCAATTCTTGAATTGGATTATATTTTTATCCTCCGCTGGCATCTCAATTGCGAACTCGTTCTGTCTCATACATTGATCGATATGTTTTTTCAGTTTTTCCGAAGTTTGAAAAAAATTCAAGCATCGATCGCAGAAGTAATGTCTACATTTATGCTTCGTTACTTGAGCGGTTACCAATCGACTTAAATGCTTGATCCAACAATAATGCGATTGAATTTGCAAATTTTGATCCTGATTTGGTTTTTTTGGTCGTATTGCTTTCGTGATCAATAGTAGGTGAACATGATTTAACTTTACATTTTTTGTAACGCGAATTGGACGTATAAATTTATCATCACCTTTGACTTCGTACATGTAAATATTTACGGATATTGTTGGATTGAGTTTTTCAAATTTATCTATTTGATTCAGTTTCATGGGGAATTCGATTCCAGTAAAGTTTAAATCATCTTTATATGGTAAATAATGAAATAACCGGTTGGGGTTCCACTTAGCTTCATGTAACTTTGATAATATGGCCCATTTGAAACACATTTCATCATTATTGACAACGTTTATTATTGCATGTTTTGATTTCAAATAATTGGGTAGATCAATAAACGATGATCCCCTCCACGGTTCATATTTATTCACTTGCACAACTAACTCGCTGATATCAGATAGGGTGAATCCCGACCCTTTAGTCACAACATCATCAATTTGACTGAGGATATATTTCGTAATTTCTTCACGAAAAAATTCAGCCAAATCCGTATCAAGATCTACAATTTCACTTTTTGTCTGGATATAAATTGTTTGTTTTTCTTTTAATTCACCACCACTACTCTGTATCGGTTTTTCGAACAC